TTAACTTATAAAGTTGATCAATGAACATAAATTGGTCTTATGGGTCTTACGAAAAACACTTGGTCTTACGTGAACCCAACCCTATATATATATATATATATATATGTATGTATGTATGTATGTATGTATGTATGTATGTATGTATGTATGTATGTATGTATGTATGTATGTATGTATGTATGTATGTGTGTGTGTATGACATTTGTTTTGAAACCATAAAATTGATATAATATTGAGAATTGGTACATCAAGTGTTATATCATATGATTTTTTTCATTTATGACTTAGATTATGTGTACTGATCAACATATATTTGTTTCACAATGTAAACATTTTTATATGTTTGTGAAACAAAAAGTACAACTAAAAAGTTTCATATCTTGTGAACCGAATACATATGAAACAAATGTATGTTAATCAATTCAAATTCTAGCCTTAGATGGAGAACTGTCAGGTCCGCAAGACTGGAATTCTGGAAAGAAGGAATGTCTGGCTCTTCCTATTCTAGTGCAAGTTCTTGCTCGATATAAATCGTTGCACCTTGACAAGGATGTTGCCCCTCGTTCCACCTGTAAAGAGAGTAGAAGTTAGGCCTTTGTATGACAGATTCATTGATAGTAGGATCAATGATGTTTAGTTTCATTCATGATCAATATGGCCCACGTTTGAAAAATATGATGACAGGCCTTCACTGCAAAAGATCACAGAATTGGTTGATTCGTAATTTGCTTGATTGGAGGAATCTGGAGCCACAAGGATCTTCCAACAGGTTCAAAAGTCTTTTTATTCCAGGCAGCCAGCCCAATTCTACGGAATTCAAAATAATGTGAAAAAAATACCTTATGCTAATAGTTATCACAGTATATGGGATGCTCATATGATCATATATATATATATATATATATATATATATATATATGGTGGGGTGTGTGTGTGGACAGATTCAAGTGGGAACCTAATTTGAGAACAAGATGATCGTCCATAACGCGAGACGTGACATTTCATCATAAATATGGACGTGGTTATTTATCATGAATGTTGAAACATATCCGTTATGATTTTATGATTCATAACAAATAGCACGTCCATATTCATCATGAATATGTTATTCATGATAAAAATTCATCCTAAATAGGAACATGTGACACGTTTAGGGTAATTCTTGGGTTCTCAAAGACAAACATATTCTTAAACAAACTTTCATATATATATATATATATATATATATATATATATATATATTTATTTATAATACCCTAATTGACTAAATATGATCACTAGTATTGATAATAATACGAAGGGCTTCAAGATACTACCACTAGCCATCAGAACGGATGAAGAACAATATTTTAGACGTAAGGATGTGAATCAAAATATTGACTTTCAACATTCTAATATATAAATCATTCTTGAACAACATTAAGTAATGATATGTATGACCTTCACATTCACTAAATAATCTATGAATAAATACATATCACTTTTTTTTAAATCACGATTGTAAAGCAAATGCTCAAAACTGTTTATTTTAAAGTGTCACACAGTATCATTTAGTTATGTATTCGTCTTAATGTAAATGCTCAGTATATTGTAGTATTTCAATAAAAGAGAAGTAATGGAGTGTTGATCATAGATGATAAACCAATGACAACGACAGGGGAAAACAAAAAAAGGTACACAAAATACATGCGTTATGTAGTTGAACGATCATAGTGGCTGAGGAGTGGAAGTCTCAAAAATAACACACTAAACATGTTTTTCTTGATTTGTATTTGCTACTAAAAAATAGTTTAATATGATCTAACAAACACATCACCGTTACTCAAATGACAAAGATTAATCGATTCAGGCTGATCGATACATTATATGACCATCATAATATTTGAACATATCCCTTTGTCCTAAATGACCAGATTTAAGCACTGTGCATGGTTTGTGTTATTCTCGTCGCCTCAATTATTTGCTTTCTTGGTCTCGAAAGTGATTTAAGTAAATAACTGATTTTGATATCATCTCTCGTCTGTTTGAGCAACACGCATTTCTTCGATCACAATCTTCTCTTAGATAGAACAAACATCATCTCATGATATTATCACACACTTAATGACTATCTTGTCACCTCGGTTACCAGGTGATGTTGGCTAAGTAACTATTAACTGGCTGATAAGTTAGTTATTAACTGAAAAATTGCTTGATAACAAAACCTTCTTATATATTCATCTGTCTTTGTTTTATTTTTATCATCATGACCGAAAGTTTAACATATACATGCATGTAAAACAAATGTTATTCAAACTTTTTTTTAAGTATATAATATTTATATATGGCAAATAGAACAAATAAACTCACACACCCTCTTCACATTTGGTGAGGTTTGAATTTCTCGCCTCCTAAAAGATCAAAACTCACATACCGCTACACCAAAGGCCCTTATTGTTCAAACTTATTATTATTGAGAAATACTTATGGTACTCATATGAAATCATCATGATGGATCTCTCTAGTACACAAGTTCACCAACTTGTACCCACATATATAGAGGATTCTATATAAACCATATGAGTTTTTGTATGTAAGGGGCCGTTTACCAAATGTTTATCCAGATAAGCGACTACCATGTCACAATATCTCTTTGGATGAATATATTAAGAACCAATAATCTTATCCGGTAAGAGCAAGACAATGACCAAGAGTCTTACCCGATAAGTAAGTGTAACGGCTCTTACCACGGTAAACGCTTATCGGGTAAATTGTTGCATGCAATGTCGTTTTGGTGGACTAAAATCTTATCCGGTAAATAAATAACAGTGTTAATTTTATCAGTAAACATTTACTGAGTAAGTATCCGGTAAACAGCCCCTTAGTCTCAATTTAATTACTTTAATTCAGTCCCAAAATAATGTTCCATTTCTCTTAAAATTAGTGTCTGCATTTTTATTTTAGTTTGTTCCAAAATACGTGTCCACCTTTAGAAAGTAAGTGTCTATTTTCTTATTCTAACCTTAATTATGAGATGGAGAAAATATACCCATCTATCGTTAAAGAGTAAAAGTGTCATTTTTAGTTAATTAAAAAGTGTAACGGTTACGCATTCTTAAAATTGTGTGTCATTTTTATTGTGGACATTAATTTTGGAGTAGTAATGTTTTAACAATATAAACAACATAAAATGGATAGACAATGTATAATTAATCATAACTTATGGGTGTTTGGGATTGCTTATTTGAAACAACTTATGCTTTTCTACACAAAGACTTATCAACCTATTATAAGTCAGAAGGGTTTAACTTCTTCAAAAACCCCTTATTACCGGTTTGGCATCGGCATAAGTTGTTTATCTAAACACTCAAAATTGTTTATTACTGATGTCACACTGAAATAAGTCAATAAGTTATTTTTATAAGCAATCTCATACACCCCATAATGTTTACAATCATCTAATGATCGGATTTTAAACGTATCACTAACAAAATAGTTGTTTGAGTCGGTAGTTTATACATACAAATCATAACCCTCTCAAAATCATACAAATCTATACAAAGGTCAAAAGTGTCTCGAGGTCTAGGATTCAAATAGAATTGAGTTTTATTCTTTATAAATAATTTATAAAAACAAATTATAAATAACTATAAAAATAATTAAATTATATTTTTTATTTATTCATTATTAGAAAATAAATATTTTTAACATATTTTAAAACATTACATACAAATCTTATGAAATCCCTTGAAATGCCAACTACCCAATAAGATATCAAATCACACCAAACATTATATCAAACATGGGATCGGAATGGAATTCAATTCCAAATCCAATCCATTCCACCCCATTAGTGATGGCCAAAAAAGGGTCTCAGGCCAGTCCCAAGATTTCTCATAACCGGTCATAACCGGTCCCGATCGAAAAAGTTGAGCCCAGCCGAGCTTTATTGTAACCGATTATGGGTCGCCGATAACGGTCATTAAAAAATAAATTTTTTATTTTATTTTTTTAATGATATATATTTTAATACATTATAAGATTTGTAATTGAGTCACTCAAATACACTTTAAAAATGCGTTTTATTATAATTAAAATTACATTGTCTTACAAAATATAACAAGAAACCGATAATTGTGAACGTTTTTTTACGTTTTTTGCGAATCGAGAACTTGGTATGTAAATCCCTCAACCAAGACACTTATATATAGTGTTTAAAAAGCAAAAAATACAAAAAAAAAAGTCCAAAAACGGCTAGTTTTTTGAAAAATAACGGCTACATTTGTCATTTGTCTGCTTGGCTAGTTAAGCATGGGCTAATTCATAGATCTATTCAAGATAATTACGTATTTACAAAATCTTCCCAGATTATTATTTTTTTTCTTACGACACGAGAATTAAATCCGGATTCTAGGTATTCTCTACCTACCCACCTGTGTCGGTTTCGGTAGAGGAGGTAGGATGGGCAGTTGGTCAGATCTAGTATGGATCGTACATGGATAAATAAGATACCCAATTTGGTATCTGTGTAACAATTTCCATGAGATTCATAGTTGCATTACTTATAGCTTCCTTGTTCGTAGACAAAGCGGATTCGGAATTGTCTTTCATTTTTTAAAATTGGGCCAGGCCGGTCCAGGTCCTGCAAAACACCCCAGATCCATAACTGGTCCCAGATTTCGGTCTTATAAAATGTCCTTGGCCAGTCCCGGTCCTCCGGCAGTCCTGGGCCGGACTGGGCCGGTTCGGCCATCACTACATCCTATCAAAGGACCTCAATCCTAATATGCCTTGGGGCCAACAGGTCTTAACCCTAACCACTTTCAGACAGTCAAACCTAACCATGCTCAGAACCAGTTCTTGATGAATCAGACTTTCTTAAATTATTCAGCATTTCTAACGAACACCAACACTGCTGATACTAGTACCATTTCTTTCTCCAATAATTGTAGACCATAACCGATCCTCAGGAGTTATAAACAACATAAAATATAAGCAATCCAACAATCAAATCCACATTCGACAAAAATCGACCAACCCTTCACGGTTAGGTTGTGTTCAGCTTTCACATTCTCATTACATAAACTCATAAGAATGGTTCGATATAAAGTGTATTTATTGTTCGCCCAGAATACTAGATTTACAGACAGGTTCCTCATTTGTCTACTTCACCATATCGTTAGGATCCACCTACTCGTAGATGGTCTCGTATGCTTAACAACCACCAGAAACTAATACCCTCTATTTAGCAGAAGACAACTAAACAATAATATTGCAAAACAAAAACCAAATCTCCTCTTTCTTCTGTTATTATTGATTACTCAATACTCCCACATTTCCACCCTATTTAGATTGATAGTTGCCTCCCTTCTCATCCTCCTGCTACTGCATAAAACATCAAGTCAGTAACCAACAAAAGTTAAGGCCATATGTTACCATCTTCAGGAAAAGTTGTAATTGGCTAATTGCTTGCTACAAAAATAATAGCATGATAAACCGACTACAATATCATCTTCCTAAACAAAATTGGTAAGATTTAGATATCAGTTCACGAGACAAAGTGAAAGCCTAATTAGAAAAAAGTATGTACCAAACTCACCTCCAAACAGATTAGAAATCTGTGTCTCCTCCAAAGCCGCCAAACCTACCACCGCCAGACCCACTTGATCGCTGACTGCCAAATCCACTTGAACGATCTGAACCAAATCCGCTTGAACGGTCTGAACCAAATCCACTTGAACGGCCTCCACCAAAACCACTTGAACGGTCTGAACCGAATTCCCCAAATCCACTTCTACGACCAGCACTAGGGCGACTTGAGTCCTCACCAAAACCACTAGCACGTCCAGAGCTAGGTCCTCTAAACCCACCACCTGATCCTCCATAACTAGATCTACCAAAACCACCACCACGAGAAGATGAAGCCCCATATGAACCAAAACCACCTGTTCGATTACCACCAAAGCCGCCAGATCCACCAAATCCTGAATCACCAAATCTACCTCCAGAAGAACCAAAACCACCACCAATTTCAATTCTGGATCCAGCATCAACAGCGATTGGAGGAAGCTTAATAAATCAAAAAAGAAAACCCGTCAGCAAATAGAAACTAAAATGCGGAAAAGGAACATCCATTTTGGTACTAGCATAAAAATGATCTCAGCTATTAAGATAGAAGCATTACAGAATAGTTTTGACATTTTCTAGTACAACAATGCATATGATCCAGATTGTCAATATGTTCTCATGGAAGGACCAACGGTCTCCACTTCAGGGGTCAAGATTTGCTTCATTGGATTTGAAACCAAACTTCAATTGAACTTCACAAAAAGCCAAAGCATTTAGGACTCTTTGGCGTAAGTTCCTTGCATTTATTTAAAGCGCATACATCAAATCATTGAAAAAAGCCAATCACATCTGGCACAAAAAAAACTTCACAACTTCTTAACTTTGACAGTGCATGTTTTCTCTTTACTTCGGTAGAAAAAGCCCAAAACTTTAGTTACATCCATCAATAACATAACTACTTGATTGTTCATCAAAAGATAAAAATGTGAATACAGAGGTCAAATCGATAACATTCATTTTCATCAGCTTTAACACATCTAAGTGATTAGGTAAGCAGATATGTATGTCCTTCCTGACAAGTGAATCAACTGCATATTAGACATATAAGCCATAAAATGTTTGGCATATTACCTCAGAGAATTTGCATCCTACTTCCCTCTCATATCCCTTCACATCTCTCCACTGCTGAGAGGAATGCATTAGTATCGCCCTTCCTTTCTTGCCGGCACGACCAGTGCGGCCGGAGCGGTGAACAAATATTTCAGAGGAGTTAGGAAGCTCATAATGTATCACCTGACCATCAAAAGGGAACTTCTAATCAGAGAGTGAAATGTTAGATAAAGCACCATTTGGGAAGAGAGGATGGCTTCTAAATGAGCACTTGCATAGCCATTATATTATAAATGAAAACTAAAGGGAGGTGTTTAAGAGTACAACGTTGGAATTTATCAAACAATTATAGTAGAAGCATCGACTTAAGCAGCCTCTTTGTTGACATGTGTTACATTGAGCAACCTTCTATTTCTAGATCCCGTGGCAATCCAAATACAAATATACAAGAAGGGTCAAATGCTTTTTGGAGTGCTTTACAGAATTAGACCTCAACAAGCGGAACCAAAGTCAGAACCATGAAATTTGATTTTTAATGTAACCAATTCCACATACAAGCTTATCAGTTGGAAATAACATAACAGCGTATACGAGGCAAAAGAGAATTCACCAGATCAACATTAGGAACGTCAAGGCCACGAGCAGCAACATCAGTGGCTACTAAAACATTGAATCGGCCATCTCTAAAGCCTGAAAGAGTTCTCTCCCTTTGATTTTGTGAAATGTCTCCATGCAAAGCTTCACATCTGAAGCTATTCTGCAAACCATATGCTAACCGGTCAGCATCTCGCTTTGTTTGGGTGAAAACTATACATTTGCCACCATTTGCATGCTCCTGAAAGAAAAAGAACACACCATCAATTGGAGAATATGTAAAACAGTAAATTCAATGACTGAAAGATCAGCAAATTAAGTAAGACAACAGTGTTGATGCATACGGATATTAGTGGTCCAATAATTGATGGTCTGTCACGCATTTCTGATGAAATAGAAAACAGTGTAATTCCATCCGGCAATTTTTGGTCTGAATCCCCCACCTAGAACCAAATTTTTGCATCAGTATGTACTTATCATAACAAGTGGTTGTAGATACATGCAACCAATCACATTCCACAAAGTTAACTATCATAATAAAAGGATGTGATCCAGAATCTACTCACAAGATCAATAGTTAATGGTTTCTTTAGGTACTTGGTGGTAAGTTTTACAATCCAACTCGGCATGGTTGCTGAAAACATCATGGTTTGACGTTCTCGTGGCAAATATTCCAAGATTGTTTCAACATCATCCGCAAAACCAACATTGAGCATCTGATCAGCTTCATCTAGAACAGCAAACTTAACTTCTGATAGATTCAAAGCACCTCTTTTAAGCAGATCAATAACACGTCCAGGGGTGCCTACAATCACATCAACACCACGATCAAGGGTGCTCATCTGGCGCTGAATCGGTGAGCCCCCATAGACACAGAGAGTATCTAGATTGGGAGCAGACTCGTAGAATTCCTTTTCAACTTGCCGAGCAAGCTCTCTAGTAGGAGCCAAAACAATGGCCAATGGATTTCTTCCTCGTCTGTTATATTTGACCAAATATGTAAATTAATAAATTGCGTTCTTAAACAAATCAAACATGTAAACCAACTTAAGAACCAAATAAGAAACGAAAGACAAAGTCCCGCACCCATTCTTCTCATTGTATTGAATAATTTTATCCATGATAGGGATCCCAAAAGCAAGAGTCTTCCCTGTTCCAGTCCTAGCACGGCCAATCATGTCACGCCCCTGCATGGCTGGCTCCAGCACGGCTTTCTGAGCAACAGCATATTAGTGTCATTACAGTGGAAGAACAATATCACAATTGATAACCATTCGTTCTTCATTTCAAACATTTATATTAACAAACGCCTATTCGCTCTAAATGTTCTCCCCCTCTAACACCCAAATTCTATTTATTGTGCTAGATGGTTTGTAATTTCATTTTTCAAATGTCTATAATCCATATCAATCTAAACTGAATGACGTAAAGTGTAGCTTTATTTTGGGAAGCAATATGCATATAAGTACACACTAACCCCCATAAGTAATCACAAACAAAACGAAATTGCCAATTTCAAGCAAACACTAAAAACAAGAACACAAATGAACAAGAAACTACGAATTGAATGTTCAGTTACCTGAATAGGAAAGAGCTTGGTTATACCCTTTTTTGCTAGAGCAGTAACAATCTCTTGAGAAATCCCAAGCTTAGAGATCTCAAGACCATCAGAAGACGCAGCCCTGTCCCCCTCGTATGAAGGATCGGCGGCAACCGCATATCCCGCAGACTGTGTTGACACATCGGAAGCCCTGATACTCACCCATCGAGACCCATGAAAACTCCTCCTCAAACCAGCACTTGAATGGAACGTTTGAGATTGATTAGGTAATTGTTGGTGATTTGCAGGGGATGATGGTGTGGATGAAGGGACAAGAAGATGTTTGAGTGAGTTGTAGGTAGTAAGAGAAACAAGAGAAGTGAGTCTCTTGGAAGAAGTCCTGAAGAGCAGACTGTTCATTTCTGATATCTGCTTTGAGATCGTCACTCACTCCTGTGTGTTTGCAGAGGAAGAAGGTCGAGTGTAAAACCCTAATTTTGGGTTTACGAAATGAAAGAACGAAATAGAAAAAGGTAAGAGGCGTAATCAAAAGACGCCGCAAGGGCGGTGGCCACCCATTATAGTTTGTTCGTATTTACATTTTTGCCCTCGTGCTAAAGAGTGGTGTGATTAATCTAATTACATTTTTGCCCTTGGCCACGCATTAAGTTACCCACAAAAGCTTTTACACAATTTGCTTCTAATCTCGGTAAAGCTGTTGAGAGTCGATTGGCAAGAGGTCAATGCCTACGTGAATTGCTTAAACAATCCGTAACCGCAGCTAGGAATGTTTATGGGTTGGGTTGATCGGGTTGAAGACATTTGAACAACTCAACCCAATGCTTGCGGTTTGAAAAATCTTAACTCAACACAACCCAAATCAAAGTATAGCCCAACCCAACCCAAACCGTACGGGTTGGTCGGGCTAGTCGGGTTGGTCGAGTTGATATTTTAATACATTAAAATATTTTTCTAAACTTGAATATGTTATTTCCCTACTCATAATTTCTTTTTCATTATCAACCATTTAATACAACGTATCCATACTTCTTACGCATATCACATTCAGTTTTTTTCCTCAATTTACATTTATATGTTCACAGTTACCGAACATATATACGAATGAGTTATATAGAGAGAGATGAATAGATTGAAAATATGTGCATATGAAGAGCATACATGATAGGGTAATTGTCTAATGTATATATTAGTAGATATTCAACAATCATATTAAATCCAAGAAATAAAAGGATATCGGGTTCATCGAGTTGGGTTGGGTTCAAATAATAATAACTCAATACCTACAGTTTGAAAAATTTACAACTCGATCAGACATCGAGTTACTTCGGGTTGAGTTATTTCGCGTTGGATTGGGTTGGGTTGATCGGTTAATCAGGTTTTTGAGCACCCCTAACCGCAGCTATTGGGACTGCTGTGGGACCAAAAACCTTATTTTTTACTTTGAATTTTGTGTGAAATTACGTATTATTATGTTTTTATATATTTTTTGATTTTTATATTCATATTATCTTAAAATAATACATGAGACCTATAAAAGGAGATTTTTGTCCACAACTACGATTGTAGAGTTTCTGTTAGTTCTTAAATTGTTGATATGACCAAAAATATGCAAAAATGAGGTTCTTATAAGTCACTCCGTTGAAGATGCTTTATGGTTACCTGAGCCGGTGGCTTATTTTTCCTAAGCAAATAGGGAAGAAGATCGAAACACGCCACTAAAAGACTTCACTGAAACAAGGAAGTATTGATCCAGTTCAAAATTTTGTTTCGAAATTTCATAGTCGTAGTTCTCAATTTTGAATCAACCTTCGGATAAAAATCTCGAAAATCTCTATTTTTCCTTAAATTGTCATTCAAAGGTAAATGATTTAGTTTGCATTTTTATGTATTAAACAGTCTTCACCTTTGGAAAAAAAATTATTAACCTATATATCCAACCCGCTATGCGAGCCGACTAATCCCAGGGCGACCACCTGCTTTGCAGATAGCCCGGAGTCATCGCATTTGAACCCTGTGGCCACAAGGGGATTTTTATTCCTCATTGGATTTGAACATGGGGTCTTCATGTACTTTTGATCTTTGGAGCCAAGCTTAAACCAATCAGGCACCACCCTTGCGGTTCTTTACCTTTGAAATCATAATCTATTAAAATGTTTCGCAACACTTTTGAACTTCTCGGTTTGAGAAACATGTACTATTTAACTTGCTTCTTAGAATTCATCAAAGCCCGATTCACATCATGTGCTCGATAAAATGAACAGGGAAACTCTAATAGAAAAGTATAGTGGCCCACAATAGTGTATAACAACTTTTAACTAGACAAACGGTCATTGGATTTGAGATTAATTAGATTCTAAAGAAGGACACAAATAGATAACGTAAATAGTGTCTTGGTCTTACATGTTGAATTTAGTGATAACACCGATATGATCACAAAAAGTGGTAGAGCATGTTCTTCTGTAATTGTAACGTTGAACACTTGAAGTTCCACATATGAGATTGTAATCGGTGTTTGACCTCCTTTTGTTAAAAGACCATGTCTATGTGAACCTTCGTCTTTGTACTTATAGTTTAGTCTGGTTCAAATATAATGCCTTCGGTGAGTTGAATACAGGTTAAAGAGAAACTAGAAGGACGTCAAAGCGGTTCAGTGAGACGTCTAGCCAACAAGTAAACTTTACCTAGTTGACAAGATAGTCAAACACTTCTCAAGTTGGGGATGAAATCTCAAAACAATCCACCACACCTTGTACAAAATAAGGTAAGAATTGTCGATGACAAAGATCGAGGAATATGGGACTATGCTACCCTTGAGTTTGGTCAATCAAATTCGGGTATTATTAGACCCTATATGACCTATTTAACTTTCAGATAAAACTGTTAATGTTTCAAATGATCCAAGCAATTGGAATTTGGAGGATTACCTTCAAAGATCCACATTCCCATTTTAAACCATTTTTTAGAAATTACGGATGCCTTTAGAATTCAAGGAGCTCCAAATGAATCCTTATAGGTAACGGTTTTCACTTTCTCCTTAAAAGATAGAACTAAAGCTTGGCTACATTCTCAGTCACCCCGTTTTATAGCTACTTGGGCTGATCTTACTGAAAATTTTCTGAAAAAATTACTTTCCTCTAACGAGGAATGTAAAACTCAAAAATGAAATTTGGTTGTTTCAACAAGGGGGAAGATGAAGCAGTGTCCGATGCTTGGGAGAGAACCAGGAACTTCTTCGGAGGTGCCTACATCATGGGCTCCGCCATTGCATCCAATTGGAAATATTTTATAATGGATTTTCCAGCTATTCGAAAATTGTCGACACTACAAGTAGAGCTTTTATTGTCAAAACATACGATGAGGGGTATGATATTCTTGAGAAGATAGCCAACAACAATACTGAATGGTCGAACCCCTGTAAATTCCCTCCCAATAATGCTTCAGAAATTCATGATGTAGATACCATAACATCCTTAAACGGATAAATTGTTGCTTTAACAAACTTGGTAAAAATATAATTTGAACTTAGGAGAAAAGAACCAAATGCACTCCGTAATGACTAATTTGACAACGAATGAAATGTGTGCACTTGTAGTGAAAACCAGTTGTATAAGTATTGTCCCGATAATCTTGTCTTCGTTAATTATATAGGAAATCATTCTAGGAATAGTTCGTACTCCCAGACCTATAACCTAAATTGGCGAAACCACCCCAACTTCTCATGAGCAGGTAATCTAGGACTACAACCTCCTGGGATAAGTTATGGGCAGCGTCGACCTCAAATTTTTGTGTGATCAATTTTATCAAAGCAGTAACCATTCTTGTCAAGGTGGGCAGTCCCACCTCTCACGTGCCTAGGTGGCAAAACACGTTGGATAGTATCAAATCCATGCTCAAAGGTTTTGTAAACCAAACCAACGCGACAATGAGAGTTTTTGAGACTCAACTTGGTCAATTTGCAGCGAAACGTAAGGGACGACAACAAGGAACTTTACTAGGCGACATCGAAACCCCAAAGGGTATTCCAAAAGAGCATGTTAAAGTCATCACATTGAGAAGTGATACGAATTTAATTAACGAACACATTAAACGAGAAGATAGGGAAACAACACACTATTTTGACAACAACAAATATTTCTACATTGTTCCATTGCGCAATAGCAACAACAACAGCTTAAACTACCCCAATTGTAGTTGAAACTGCAACATCTGATGCACTTCCAGCTTCTGTTCCCTACAGTGGCAACACTATGGCCACAATCCGAGAAAAAAAACCCAACAACTCCTAAGGATAAATTTGTCACTCACACCACCTACAAATAGGGGGAAATTGTTGATCCAAACCCTCTCAATCATTTGATGATGACCCTTTACTTAGTGATTAAAATATTTAAGTGTTATTTGAGTAAACATCAACGACTAAGTCTATTCAATGTTCGTTGGGTTTTTATGTAATTAATTGCTTAGAATTTAAGTCCCCTCTAAGACAAACTCGCATAAAAGAAACTTCAGCAATGTCGAAGAAGTAACTGAAGATAAATATAGGCTAGACATGATCTGAAGTGGCATTCAATGATACTAAGCTATCTAAAGAAATGTTAACTTTACTCAAATTATCAGCAATATCTAAAGACGTCCTCAATGACCACTTCATTGCTAGATCAATATCTTGCTATCAAGTTGTTTGTCTTATCTTTTCTTGCACAAGTCAAAACCTTATGATTCATTCTAACAGAAGGTATAATATGGTTACTTTGTTGTTCCCTTCATGCTCACCAACTCTCTGAAGCACTGTTCATATGCAGCCAAAGTCCGTTTTGCCATAGACAAGATGTACATGTAAACCACTCCTTTCATGACATGTGGATTGTTCTGTTGAAGTGCATTAAATGCATAGGGTATAAATAGTTGAGAAGAATCTCTTTCTTACCACCATTCTTCTTACCTTGGTTATCTTTTTCTTACTTATCTCTCTATGTAATATGTGCAAGAACCTTTGTGACTTCTCTACTTTGATCTTTAGAGATTCTTTGTGTTCTGAGATTAAAAGTAAGATTGTTTAGATTAGAATTACTAATTTTTTTTCCTTCTGCAACAGTCTTGATTCTTTTTTATAATCAATAAACGAATTTAAAAATGAAAATAGTTTTATTTGTATTTAACCTCCTAAAAACTGTGTTGAGCCTTGTTTACCCTCTTGGGACCAACACTACTACATCAGGGGTGGATGTACTTGAAGATGGTTGGGGTCCTGGGCCCCCAACAAAAACCAAATAAGAAAGCCTAATTTTTTTTACTTGTATTTTTTAATTGAGTGTAATTGGCCCCCCAACATCATGAGGTAAGAGGCCCCTCTTCTCTTCACTTACCAGTTTGATATTCACCATTATTCAACGAACGACGGGAACGAAGTAACGAACGACGGTGACACTGCGAGACTTCAGTTCAGTTCAGGCCACTTCTTCTTCTTCATCGTTGTGAGCCTGCGACGCTGCCTAGTGCACCTACAGCCTACTTCTTCGCGACTTCGCCTCTCGCCAGTCGGCTCTCCGCTCTCGCCTCTCTCCAGTCGCCTCTTGGTCTTGGGTAGAGATTCTAATTTCCAAATCCAAATTACTTCTTTGATTTTGTAATTTGTTGTTTGCTAATTGCTTATTGGTGATTTGGTGGTAAATGCTTTAGGTTAGGTATTTTAGGTTAATTTTGTTGGCAATTTTGTAGGCAATGCAATGGCAAATTAAATGTAAATGTCAAATGATAGGTTAATTTTGTAGGCAAATCAAATGGAAATGTCAAATTTTAGGTTAATTTTGTAGGCAAATAAAAATGTTACTAAACCATTGATTTTTATCTTGTTATTGTTATTGTTATTGCTAGAAAAAAAATGAAAAGATTTTTTAAAAGAAAAACATCAACACCTGAATCGAGCTCTGCTCCTTCGATGCCTTGCGAAATTGATTTGAACAATCTTCCTTGGGATCAGGCCGATAGGAAAAAGATTTCCGAATATCATCCTAATCAAAGGGATGAAATAAGGAGAAAATACTTGCTTAGAGGACCTTGTCAACCACGGGGTCATGCATTTCCAAAAAAATTTGTCGGGAGTAAAAGAAGACGTTTTTGTCCGACTTGGTTTGATCAATGTGCTAATTGGTTGGAGTATAGTGTAAAAACGGATAGAGCTTTTTGTTTGTGTTGTTATTTGTTTAGAGATCATTACGTAGTACAATGTGGGAGTGATGCTTTTGTAACAGATGGTTTTAATAGTTGGAATAAAACGGAAAGACTTGGTCTTCATGTCGGCGACATCAATAGTTTTCACAATAGAGCACTTAAGAAAAGTGAGGATCTAATGAGCCAAGATCGATCTATTGTTGTTGCCTTTCATAAGCAAACTGAGAAGGAGAAGAATAAGCACCGAATATGATTAGATGCTTCAATTAAGGCCTATAGGTTCTTGTTGAAGAATGCATCGCCCTTTCGTGGTCACGATGAATCTGAAATGTCTATCTCTAAAGGCATGTTCTTGGAAACATTAGCCTTAATTGGTGATTGCAATGAGGATGTAGGTAAAGTTATATTAAAAAATGCTCCAAAGAATAATCAAATGGTGTCTCCAAGTATTCAAAAA